ACATATACATACAATCATACATATAAATATATGAATGTATACTCACATATATATACGTGATAACATCAATATATATATATATATATATATGCTAGCTATAGTACCTTCCCACTTTACTCCGCTCCCTGCCTCGGAAACGGCTGGAGCTCAACCCAGTCGAAATCAAAGACATCTGGCTGACCCATGTGTGTGATATTCTCATAGGCATTCCATGTAAACACGGGTTGTTGGTCGCTTGTAGGTCCGTTGACAGTCCAGAATTTCAAATCCCGTCCCATGGCGATGTTCGTGACCTTCGCGTCGATTGCTCCGTCGAGTTGGAACCTATTCCCTTGGGCCAAATCCCAACGCCTGGCGACATCATTGCCTGATGTATATTTACGTCATCAAGGTTATAGATATTTCCTTAATCAGGGTTATGGATATGATGAGCTACGGGGTTAGTGGAGTGACGGAAGGATACTGGGCGAACTTCCAGCTCATTGTGCCGTCGAGTGTCGTCAACGCAATGCCTCGTGCATTCGTAGCGGAAGTATGCAAAAACCTGCAAACCCTAACACAGTGCAACACCCATGTTACAAGACAAACCAATGCAACACCGCGTTCTAAGATGAAACATAGTATCACCGTACACGTATCGTTGGCCCAGTGACAACAGATTGTTCTCGTAGTCGTTGTACCGCAGTCTGCGCTTCATAAAGCTCATATCCGTCACCGACGACTGTTGCTGTCTGAAGATGTTTGCGCGTGGGCACTTCTCATGTGACCACTCATCGCCTCCCTTCTCGTACTTGGCACTCCATCCGCTCTTCTCGTACATCTCGGGGAAGTACGGTACATTGTACGAGGCCCAATAGCCGTCTTCGTTGAGTTGCTGTGATACAGACCCTTTCAATGAAGCGACAGGCTTCTTGCAATAGGCTTGATAAATGTGTCTGTGGTGTAACGTGGTGTGTTGTTATAGAAACACAGCACCGACATCTGTGCCAACAAATGTACAGCGCTGATGCAATACGTTCACGGGAGAGAACAGACGCACACATGTACATCCCCACATATCCACAATATTATAATACATGGATATGTGTATATAATTATACACACACACACACACAAACACACACACACACACACAAACACACACACAC